GTGCTCTCCGTACTCTATCCCTCCTAAACTAATAGCTTTTCATGAGAGACATCTACTCTTCTCTTGTCCACACCATGTAATTCATGATAGGAGAAGCAAATTAATTTGGATTGTAACAGATTTAAGTAACATATATACCTGTTTTCTGCAAGAGGAGATTTTACTCCAACACTTGCTGTGAAAGGGGCAAGATCTGTCTCAATTACGTTTTTAAGCTAGTTATGTTATTGTATGTTATATTAAAATTTTTACCTTTTGTGTCACTAGATGGTGCACACGTGCGTTGCTTGTGGACCATTTCGAGTATCAAATATTACTCATTGTTGATGTTAAAAATCATGAACTCCAATAAATCATATAGATTCGTCGGGTCTTTGTCAGCTTTTGTAGACAAGTTTTTGAACTCTCTTGCTAGTTAGATGTCGGCTATAAGTTAAGTGATACATTATTTAGTATTCATGAAAAATAATTAAGCAGATAGTCTATAATTAAGAATTAGAATCAATAGTTCACCAATAAACTCATGATTTGGATAACTTCAATAAAACCAAAACGAGAATTATCACATGTTGATTTAGGTAATTCAAGAACTCCTCATCTTCAAGTTTGAATATTTTCAATTTGCTCTTGGACCCCTTCTTGATGCATCCTTTTTATCTTGAGGACCTTACTCTGGCTTTCTACTTGTTGGAGGAGATATTCCTTGCCTCCATTTGAGCGTTTGTGTTTGTCATCATCTTCTCTGACTATTGCGTGAGTATGTTGCATGGGTGATAACTATTGTTGTTTCACGCTTGTCACAAAATCAATCAAACATTCTTTATTTTTTACCATGATATAACAGACTTAAATTAACCTAATAATTTAAAAGAGGAATCATGCAATTCAACTTAAGTAGAGTGTTCCTTTAATTGAATTTAGTTATCTATAATTCAAGTTTGTTGTCACTCCAAACTGCTTGAATGGTTAGCAATAGCAAAATAAGAATTGTACCCAAAGAGAAGTTTAGTGTTGTTTTGTTAACATTTATATATATTGGAAATTATATATAATTTCATCATTACACCCACACAAATAGAATAAAAAAATAACTCTTGACCTATGATAAGTTTTTAGCCAAATAAAATTCAATGTCTTATGTTAACCAAGATTAACGAAAAATTAATAGTTAATGATAGGAAAAGATAAGTTATATAGAGAACCTCTGTAATAGTTTATAATAGCAAAATTAAAGGAAAAGGGAAGTCAAGGAGATAATCTCTCTCTTAAAAGACAAATAAATAGCTAATTAGACATCTTAATTGATGTCTCATTCGTAAAATTTTCCATATTGACCAATTGGCTGAGTTTATTGATGTCTGAAACTTATGAATGTATCCGGGGACACTCGATCAATCTGGTCGAGTTTCCTATGTTACAAATAAATCGAGACAATATCTTTATCTTTGTTTTTTGCTCTCTTCCATTCGTAATTATATGATTTTCTCATTAAATTCTATTTGATTTTAAATAATTAGTATTCATTTCAATAAATAATTCTCTCATCAAAGCACAGAGTTTACTTTATAAATGTACTACAATCACTAACATCCAAGTTCACTTACTTTCTACATAAAAATTCAAATTAGCTTCCACCTAAATAGACCTAATATTACAACTACGTCTTTTTCCGATAGGTAATATTACAATTACCTCATTAAGTAGAGAATATAAGAATCGATGTTCAATTTTATTGAGTTGAAAACCTAGAAATTAACTTCTAAGTTTTTGGTCAGGTCTTGTATTTTTTCAGCTACTAAATGGAAGTATTGTTTATAGAAAATTGAAAGCTAAATTATCTACTTGTGCAAGTAGAAAGACAAGAATTTTTTTTGAAATGACAATACATAATGCATAGTTTAGTTTGAGGCATTAACCACTTTACCTTAAGATTATAGTTTGAAAATTTAGTAAAGTCACATCTAGTTGGATATATTTAGATTCACACCTAGTATACTAATCGAATTGGTTATAAGTAAAAGTTAACATTTGGTCATGCATTTAGAATTTGTAGGGAAAAAAAATCAAGAATCAAGTGTGAGAAAGAAAAAGATTACTATTAATTTGTAAACAAAATATATATCTAATACGATACGGACACTGGGATATGAAAAAGTTCAAAAATATAAAATGCATATATGTCAAATATACAACTAATTAAAAGAATATAATATATTTTTAGACAATAATAAAATTATAATATATTAAAAATAAAGCATATTTTATAATAATATTAATAATAAGATCTAGCAAATATTATTTTTTTGATTAAAATTAAAATAGATCAAAATAAACATCCATAATTTTCACCAAACATCATTACATACATTAACATTCATACTACATAAGTTACATAACAAAAAAAAAAAAAATACAGACACCCATACACACACCAAGCTACAATCATTTAAAAACAAACATTGATCGTGTTCGACTGAATTCATTATTCAGGACACTTCAAACTGTGTCAGACACATGTCTGGTTGTGTCCAACACTGCCACGACACCCTCGAGAAGTATACATGCTTTCTAGCCTGCAACTGACTCACTATTTCGATTTGCTGTTATTATGTGAAATGCCTCACTAGTTAATGGGATATTGCAAGCTTCTATTACCTAAAAGTGGCGACTTGGATTATTTTTTTATTGTATTCCTTGTGTGTCGTATGGAACATCTGGCCAAGGAAATAAAGAAAGATAATACATTCATAAACCTAATTGATGTAGACACTACATATATTTTTAAACACAAATCAATGTCAGCCCCTGTTAATTATATGTTTAGAAGAAAAAAAACATAAAGATTTCAAAATTGTATGTAGTTCATAACTGCCTATAGAAACTCATGTGGGCTCACCTGGAGATACAAAAAATGTTAAGTATACGCATTCTATGAACAAAAGTCATTGGTAAAAGTTGATTACATCAGGAACAAACATGTCCATTGAAGTTTCTTGAGTGTCAATTCTTTCAAGTGAGCTCTCCAAATCAAAGGATAAGTGTAGATTTGCAATGTAGATAATTTTTAAGGATAAAGAAAAAGTTCCTTAATGGAGTAACTCGCATTAAAGATTTAATTGTAACATTCACAAATTCAGTCTTTCTAATGTTATTGAGTCCCACCTAAAAAAATTGTGGGAGCCATCAGATTATAATTAGCACCAGAGAATGGTGAAATTGGACACTTGATTGTCTAAGTTTATATTTAAAATTGTCTAGAATATACCAATAAGCAACAAGAATGAAATGTCGTAGTAATAGCAACAAATATCAGAACTAGTAAGTGCTCTAGACCATTGCCTATTTCTATCAAGCTACAGAACTTGCGTCCGAGTAAACCTGTATAATAATATCAAAGAAATTGAATGTGGAGATTAATCAAAATAGGAATATAAACTATTAGCAAAGATATAAAGGGATAAAAAAATATGTTACATGTAAAAAGTAATTAAAGCTAAATATTAGTGAACCTCGAGTTAAGAACATGTCGAATGTCATCTAATGAAGAGTCAATGATTTCATATCCATCAGTATGGCAATAAACTTTCTCTGTTCGAAGATTGTGTAAACCTGGTGTCCTGCTTCAAGGCTATAAGTGTATGCATGAGATTTCTAGCCATCTTCCTTGGTAATACTTCCCACAGACCAAACACACAAACATTCAAATTCGAAAGAGAAATAGAACAAAACTTTTCGAAATTAAAATCCAAAACCTACAAACAAAAGTTATAAAAGTCAAATGCATCTGCAAATAAAAGCACATAAAGCCACTACCACCTCATGAATAATGAGATGTGCTCAAAAAGAAATTCAAGAAGCTCATGAAATAGCTTCTGCCTCTTGGAGTCCTCGGCCAATGTATTCTCTTCTTCTTCTCTCTTTGTTTTCATTCTCTCTTTGTTTTCATTCTATTCACACATAATCCAAATTTTTAGTGAGTTGAAAGTAATTGGAGGATTGATAAGATTGTGGACAGATGCCCACAAATTGATACAACAAAGAACCAAAATTTTGAAATATAACAAAGCCGAGAAATGAGAGAATGGAAGACGGAGAAGATGATCGAGAACAACACTTTTTGTATCAAATAATAAAGATTTATTTGTTGTGGGAGACAATGAGTTGTAAACGTTTTAGGGTTAATTTAAGGAAATTAAATATAATCAGTATATTAATTTAAAGAAATTAAATATAATCAGATGATCGTACACTGACATTGTTTGTTGAACAATGCAGCTAATCAATTTGATGCTAAGAGAAGATCAAAAGACATAGTGGATATGATTGACTTTATACCAATAGTTAAGGGTAAAAACGGAATATAAATGTTTTTCATGTGTCCTCACTTTTTAAGTAGTATAGATTTGACATTAGGTTGATATGCATCTTCTACATGTTTGAGTGTGCTTTTCCATTTGCTATTTCACGAGTGACTCCAGCATTTCGCTCTCTACCGCAATTGATCAATGCCATTTCCACAGAACATAGTTAAGCCAAAAAGAGCGAATGTGCGACATTTTGTTTTTATTGTGATGCACAAGAATCAGTATAACTTGGGTCCAAAATATTGAATTTTTTTTTGACATTGCGGAATGTTAAGTCTCTAACACGAACGACTCATGGATTTTTTCAAGGGGGCCCTTGGCCAACCTATATTTTCTCATTCAAAGACCTTTGCGCATGTGGAGTGCTATAACTGACACATTTTCACCATCAGTAATGAGAATCATTGAACTTGTGCTGTCAATGGCTGAAACACATTGATGATAAAGAAATTTCTCATATCAGTAGGTTTATTGTCGTCTTTTGAAGTTATCCTTCACATGTTTCACTCTCACTCTGTCATGGCGCACTTTCTGTATTTTTTAATGCATTTGGATGTTGCTTTAAGAATAGTGCTTCAAATCTATCATGTACATCAATTTTTCTAACCCAAGTGTTTGATATTATGGCAGTTATTTATTGCACTTTGTGTTGCTACTCACAGCAGTGCATGGTTAGGCACTGCTGTACTCGTTACCAACATGAGGAATTTCCCTCTCAGTAGGGGAACAGTAGCTGGTATACTCAAAGGCTATATCGGGCTCAGTGCAGCAGTATTGACAGAGGTTTACATTATGGCGATTAATGAGTCAGCTTCAAAGCTGTTGCTGTTTCTGACTTTGGGAATTCCAATTATATGTTTGGGCATGATGTACTTTGTTCGGCCTTGTACTCCTGCTGGAGAAGACTCTTCGTTGCATAGCTATTTTGCCTTTACCCAAGCAGCTTGTGTCACACTTGCAATCTATCTTCTCACAACCACAATACTGAAAGACATCTTATCTCTAAGTAATTCTGTCTGCTACACATTTGTTGCCATAATGATTATTTTTCTAATATTTCCTCTCGCAATTCCAATCAAAATGACATTGTTCCCTGCAACTCGTAAGAATTTTGAGGAACTAGCTGGTTCTTTGGACAATTTGGTCACAGGAGAAGGTGACTCAAACCACAAGGTTCCTTTATTGACACCATCTGCATCAGCGACATATCTTGGAAGTATTGATGAAAATGAAGATTATTCAGATGTAGAGATACTTCTGGCTGTGGGGGAGGGGGCAGTGAAGAAGAAACGAAGGCCCAGAAGAGGGGAAGATTTCAAATTTCGTGAAGCTATAATTAAGGCCGATTTTTGGCTTCTCTGGACAGTATACTTCGTTGGAGTGGGTACAGGAGTTACCGTTCTTAATAATCTGGCACAAATTGGAGTTTCATTAGGTGTGGATGATGCAAATATATTATTGAGCCTCTTCAGCTTTTGCAATTTTTTGGGCCGTATTGGGGCTGGTGCTGTTTCCGAACACTTCGTGAGGTAATTACAATGCTGTCTCAGTTACCTTTTGGGTAATTAAAGGAAAGAGAATAATAAAAAAATTTAAAAAAAATTGGCAACTTTGGCTCAACAAGTTGTATTTGATATCAAATTGTGAAAGCACTTTGGCTTTTTGAAAATTCCCATTGTATACCCAACTTTTGAAGAGTATAATAAGGTTTTACTCTAGTTAATTCTTTTCTAAGAATTATGTATTCCATAACAGTACAGTGTCAAATTCTGTTTGAGAGTTATTTCTCTATGACTGAATGTCTGATTTTTTCTTTACATCATATAAGATCATTTCAAGTTCCAGAAATTTCCAACTTCAAATTGATTTGCTGACCTCAAGATTTGTATAACTATGCTTGAAATTGTTCTCTCATTTCTTCTGCAATTTCTTGATATGAGAATATCTTCATTTCAGGTCAAGGGCAATTCCTCGGACAATTTGGATGACAGTCACACAAGTAATCATGATCATTGTATTTCTTCTATATGCTTCAGCTCTCAATGGTACCCTTTACATTGCAACTGGATTGCTAGGAATCTGCTTTGGCGTTCAGTTTGGTGTCATGATTCCAACCGTCTCCGAGCTTTTTGGCTTGAAGCATTTTGGTATTGTCTTCAACTTCATGCAGCTGGGCAATCCTCTTGGTGCAATTCTCTTCTCAGCTCTGCTTGCTGGTTATGTTTATGACAATGAGGCAGCAAAGCAAGAAGGATCCTCTTGCTTGGGGCCCAACTGCTTTGGGCTCACATTCTTGGTTCTAGCTGGAGCCTGTGGTGTGGGCACTGTCTTGAGCGTCATTCTGACAATCAGAATCAGACCAGTCTATCAAATGCTTTATGCTGGGGGTTCCTTTCGTCTGCCTCAAAGTTCTGACCACTGATAACTAGAGTTTGATGAGCTTCTTATGATTCAAGAATTGAGTTATTCAAGTAGTGTAGAGGCATGTGCCTAAGTAATTTCTTCTCAAGGCAAAACATGCGGTTTGTGTTTGCCATATTCATTTTTGGAGCTGTAAAACATTTGAACTTCATTTCTCTCTCAGCTGAGGATTTTTCCATTGTGGGCCTGCAGTTGGCTAGGGAAAGCGTTGAAGCTTCTATATTTCTGTTAGCTATATTGAATAGAATACGATTCTGTGGTCAACTAGACCCTATCTGTCTCCACTGATCTGATTTTCTGTATCCAGTTTGGCGGGATGTTAGTCTTTGTTTGTGCTCTATGATGAAGAACACAGGTACTCTTTTCTAGATTAATGGGCTACTACTTTGTGCTTGATGCATAACAGCATAGTATCATAAAGCATTTCTTCCTTTTCTCCTTGTGTTTTGATTTGTATGTTCATCTGTGTGATTGTGTGTGTGTTTGTGATCTTTGAGCAACTAAGCCATGTTAATAGGCTTGCGATTTAGAATTTCCATCACTTGAGAAGCAATTTTGTGAACTATGCTGTCTGATTATCTTAAATATGAGATGCAACCGGTCCTGAAGAATCAATTGATGCTTCCATGAGAGTGAAATTTTTTAGGTTGATCAGTCTTGAGGCTTTTAAAAGATTTGTTGAAACCAATCATTGAAAAAGTGGAGATCTAGCAAATCTAACACAGATTTTCTATACATAGGCACCACTTGGTGCCCATCTTTTCTTTGATAAAAGAAAATAGACAGAGAGAAGAGGGAGACAGTCTCATGGCTTGGGTAGACCCTACCACTAATGGAGCTGAAGTGGGCTTTGTGGAAGACCTGGTTACCTTAGTGGTAACACACCAGTCTTCCTCTAAAACACGCAAATATATACTACTAAGTTGAAAAAATACTCAAAATTAATATAAATGTTGACTGCCTTCAATAATTGTTTAAATGATTTGTCTCCCCTTTGCCTAAGTTATGTAAGAGACATGTAGGGAGGATTAACATCACAGCAGAACTTGTGGTTTTGGGGGACCTCAAATGGCTTTGAAATGAGCATTACATTTAGCAAAGCTCATTGAATTCTTTACCTATACCATTTACACTTTGTTCATAATCATTAATGACACTAGGAATCCTAACTTCCAAACTTGTGGTGACAATGTGGGGATAGGGACTCATCAGGAGCATTATTACTGCAATCAACGGTGCAATTCTTGCAATAAAAAATTGCTACATGCTGTTGCTAATTATCTCTCATTCTTTTTTATTTTTCTTATATCAAATATATTTTGTGACTAAATAATTATTCAGAAACCATATAAGGTACCCCAAGGGTAGCTTGAGTGGAGATAGGGGCGACCGGTAAACCCAATCGTCCTAAATTTAAAATTTGGCAACTCTTTGGTGTCAGCCTCGTAGGCGTCAACAAAATTTTGTTAGTAGGAAGAGCTTCCATTGATTAGACGAACTGTATCTAGGCCTTGGGTGTGGGTTCGACTCCCTACCAAGTGTGCAAGTCTTGATTTAACTGTTGCATATGTTGAGAGGCCGGCGTGTGCGATACTTCTCTGAATGGAAATGACCTTCCATAAAGGGCTAGGGTTGGCTTTGAGGGAGGTAATTCCCTTGGAATTAACCTTTCAGAAACCATATAAGGATCAAATAGACTCAACTTTGTTTTCTGTGAATTTTTTATTTCTGATTGATACTTGTAGCAGTCTAGAAGTGGGTGATTTAGTTTCCATGAGATTTGCAGATTATTCATTTTTATCTGATTTTAAATCACTCCTGTGTTCAAGGCCCATCATCATCCTTGAACCAAAAAGGAAAGCAAACTAACATGCAATACTTGAGCATGACCCAGCACAATAGTGACACGCACAAATCAGAAAATGATCCAAATTTACTTCTCGGACCATACAATACAAAAGCAATAGACAATGTCATTACTAATACATCCTACAGACCCTAATAATCGGTGCTAAGGTGGGCTCTCTCAGCATCACCCACCACATAACAAAAAATCATGCAAGTCCTATGAAAAACCCAAGCTAAAAGTTTTTGGTGGAAGAACCAATAAACCCCTCTCTCACCATTCAAATTAGAGCAAGAAATAGGAAATTTCAAACCTTCATGTGGGTTTCAAGTTCTGAAACATAGCATCCCACCTGATCTCTTCAACACCAGTCGACCAATACTCATCGCAGTCGCGATCAATCTTTTCATCATCATGAAGATCAAGAACCAATGGGCTCGAAAAACTCTTCATCCGCTCAGCAGACATGGCCACATGACTACCACCATTTGTGAGCATAAGTGTGTTTTGCTTGGCCATCATCAACCTCTTGTTCCTCCTCACCATAGCATTCTTCCATCTCGAACTGTAACTAAGCTTCGGCACGAGGACCAGAGCCGACTCATCGCGGTGAACCCACGTTCGAATGTACTTGGAGAGAGACCTCTTGGTTCGCTTGATCGCGATGAGAAGCCTTGACATGGGATGAGGGCTACCTCCTTTCTCTCTCCTTGCAAGCTTGAGAATTTCTAGCCTGTGTTTGGCTATGGAGATGCCCATGCTCTGGAGAAACTCATGGTTGAAGTAAGCTATATCATCTTCTTCGAGTTCATTGTGAGAGAAAGCTAAGCCATACTCGTAAACCAGGGTAGGCTCAAGGCCAGTTTTTGATAGCCAAGAGAACCAATCCATGATTGTTTATGATTTGAGTGTCCTCATGATAGAGATACTTTAGGCATATATAAGGGAAAATTGTATTTTGATTCCTTCAACTCTCCTTTTAATTCTATTTTCGTCCCCTTAATTATTGAGTTTCTCATATTTTCACTCTTAACTCCCTGAATTTATCTCACACTACCCAAAACCAAACATCGAATATATTTTAGATGAAAAAAATCCAAATGTGATAAAATATGTTTCTAATGTCTATAATTAGGACAATATGAAATCAGTAATTATTATTAGAACTAAGCAACACTTAATAATCGAGACGACGATGTTAAATTAATAATTATAGTTGAAGGTGTAATGTGAAAAATATGATTATTATAAGGATTTACATGTACTCCAAGGTTAGCATAAGTGATAAAATAAACAAGCTGAAAATCCAGACGTTCTGAGTTTGAACGTTAACAACTCCTTAGAGTCAGGTTATAAGGAATTTATCTCTTATGAATACTGTAATCCTGACATGGATGGGATTAGTAACCTTAGCAACGCCTTTGAGTAGACCAGAGAAGGGATTAGTCAATGTGTGTGTAAGCTGACTCTGATATCCCTGTTCGTTGAATAAAAAAAAATGGATCATATGAGATAGGAGAGAGTTCATGGGGTCAGATTATAATTTATGTAATGTAAGATGACGAAAAAATAAAAAAGAGGGTGGTGTGTTGCTCGGGTAACTTGACTTTTCTCTATTCCATGGTGCTTTAATGGGATGGTAGTTGAAACTTGAGGGGACTAAAGAAAAAGAATGGGGTGGTGGTCGTGGGGCCTTCAATGGTGAATAACTGATAAAACTCAACAGGAGTGAGAACAAAGAAATACTTTGGAAAAATGCTGCCATCAATCACGCCATGGAAAAGGGTATATTTCATGGGACAGGGTCACCCACTACTTTTTTGTGCTTATTTTTTGTTTTTTTTTTTTTTTGGAGAGGGGGGGGGGGGGTCGTGTTTAGATTAGTGGCCCCAAATTTCAAACTAAATGCCAATTAGGTACATAATTAGGGATTGGTTAGCCCTGAAGCAACCTCTTTTTTCCTGCACTACTAAAACAATAGTTTTCATGTCTGATTGACAATATTTTCTTAAATAGTTGGCCAAATATGACTAATAAGTATAATTTTTGATGCAACGATAAGAACTTTGATCTAACGACTGGTATTAGAATCAAATTACAAGTTTGAGTCCCAGAATAATTGTTGGCCTGAATGGAGATGCAACAAGTCTCCTTAAGACTCTATAGTTTCGATTCAATAGTTTAGACTAGAGCACGAAAAGAAACTAATTGTCACGGGTCTTTGTCATTAAATATTGTTTTAGATGTCAACAATCCAAGTTTAATTTGAGATCATTGTATGAATGTTTTTATAAATTATGTCCAAGCATCCTGAATTACTAAAAATAAATGTCACATTATTCCAAAATGTAGTGGAAAAGGATTAGTCCTTACGAGGTCTAAGACTTGAATTCGATTCCACATATTACTTGGCGTAAGCAATGCGTCTCTCTTTTTCAACCCAATCACATGTTACCAACCTTGTCACGTATTTCCCCAATGGCTCCACCAGCAACTTATTTCCAAGTGCCCACAAATAAATGATCTTCAGTATTATTATGGTGTGTATGTCCCCCACAGCCAGAGGCCCATGCCACCATCAATACACTTTGGACTTCAAGAGATCATGGGCACGAACTGAATAGGACTCTGTCTCCCATCCCATGTGGAAGCACTGGTTCAGTTGTCCATATATAATTGGAGTTTTTGATACAAACAAACAGTGAGATATGTGTTTTAATCCACATTGATTTGCCTTGAGATCCACACCAGCCCATGCCGCCGACTAACTGAGGATTGTCTTATAACCGGAGTGAAATTCTCTCCAATACATTTTTTCTCAATTTATCTCAAAATTTGTTTACCTCTATTCAGAGAAAAAAGGGCAAAACTGTACCATTTACCTTTTTCGTACTCTATTATAGGTGAAAATTTTATGCACTGGGTATGGGCTTTTTTTTTTTTGGGGGGGAGGGGGGGGGGGGGGGGTTGTTCTAGTGTGGATCATCAGCCGTCGAATCGACACCTAGTTTCTTTTGTTTAACTGAAACCAACTAAAGATTGTAGCACATGATGCATATCACAAGGAAATGAAAGAATTTAATGAAAAATATTCTTTGCTTCTACATTGTATCTGCTTCTTCAAATGTATCAGAGGCTTCAACTGGAATACATCTCTCCTCCATCAGAGACACCGACTAGACTTGTGTTATCGCCAATTGCCACTAGCATAAAGAATCCCTGTTCTTTTCCTACATCAGCTTGAACAGAAGCACCATAGCAATAGTAATAGTCCTGGTGAATACTCTGATTAACTTCTAAGTTCTACATACTCGCCCCTATAGGCATGGCAAACGTGTATATAACATCTAGAAATTACCATATAGGTTACAGTCTATCTTCCACCGGAATTTGTAGATGGTGAAATCCTAAACTGTCTCCCACACTTCAATAACGATCGGATGGGAGACCATAATGTCTTTCCTACATTATGCAGAATCACTCAAATTTTCGCATTTGCTTCCAAGATTATATGTTAATACAGTGAGACATTGCATATAACCAATAACCACATTCATGTTTCATAGGGTAAGACAATTCGTCACTGCTAAAGAGACTTCCAGTGCCAACATCTATCTCATGTTCCAATCCAAGTTGATTTCTCAAAGTGGTACATAGTCTCCATTCAGGGATTGCATAAAATGATATTCTTCAGCCTGATCAAAATGTAACACAAACAACTTACAATATGATGGAGTCATGGGCAAATAGTAAGTGATTCCTATACGGCTCTATTTTTGCTTTAGAAGGATTTCCTAATAGCTCAATTCTGCAGCCAGAGGTTCTGTTTCTCACATCTCGTTATGATCAGTCATACTTTGAGTTCTACAAGCAATCCCACTGTCAAAGGCCAATAATATGTGAATTTAATCCGATAAAACAAAGCCACTAAAATCTTTAACAGTCACAATATAATTTGATGTCAAACCCAATCAAATTATGAGATACTTATAAACCAAAACATGAACATAACCAAATAAACCAAAACATGAACATAACCAAGCTAAAATCATGAGGACAATCAGGAATACTTGTGATGAAAAAAGCCATGTAAACAACACTATAATTGTTGTATTGTATAATTACATGACCCCTGTTCTTAAGGGGGAAAAGAGAGAAACGTAATGGGGCTAGGCAAAGCACAACGTGAACCAATGTCTGCACAAATTCATAAATTCAGCAAAACAAAAATTGATGGTACCTCATTGTACTTTCTGTATTATTGACAATCCATCATGTGGTCCATGGGGTAAGAGATATTCTTGTCACGGTAGAAGCCTCGGATATTTGTCTAAAGTGAGGTTTTATCTACATTTTCTGACGCGATCATAACCAGCAAATAATTTACCAGTAGATATTAACCCAAATTGGAGTAAGCCTGCTTAGTGCCCGGTTATTTTCATGTGTGGCCAAATCATTGTGGCAGCAAGCCAACATACCAACAGAAAATATTTTCAAACAAATCCTACATCATTTCACCTAATCGGCATCTACCAAAAGAATCCTGTATTGGAACACATGGGGTCATTCAGATCCGCTTTTGATGCTATAAATATTGCTGACCACTCCAACAATGCTAACTATGATTGCCAATATCAACATCATCCAGGACAAAAACTTCTCGCTGTTGCTCAAATTATTCCCTTGTTTACTTAACCTTAAAGCTATAAGAGATGGAAATGTGAAACCGAGTGAGACTGCTGTCGTTGCCCCTGTAAACTTGAAAGCCGTCCAAATGCTTGGAATCATAGTAGACCCAAAATATATAAGTCCCAACAGTACCAAGGTCAAGGCCAGACACCTCTTCCTACTTTCTGACAGCGGAGCTGATCCCTCAAACACCAAGGTATCCACTGTTTGTCTTAGAGAAAAATGGATAACAGGGAAAACAAGAACCAAATGAAGAATATACCCAACACGGACAATATAATTCAAAGCTGTGCTGAATCGAATCCCAAGGTCCTTATCGAAGTTAGTCAGCACATCGGTTTCAGTATCCTTTCCAAACAGTAGATAACCAGCTATGGCAGTCGAAGTATAAACCAGTACACAAAGGACAGTGGTGATCCTCCCCACCTTGTTCATCTTCTGAGGAGAGCGTCCCTCAAGCTCATTGTAAATAGGCTGAACATTGAAATGACATACATAAGCATTTGACATAATAGGAATGACCACAAGCAAATCCAAAATTGCCTTCTTTGACCCGAAATCTGGAGTCATTCTTGGAGCCTCAATTTTCCCTTCGACAAGCTTAATAGCTGCTACAACAAAAGCAACAAAAACAAACACAACCGCAAGAGCTACTGAAGCAGCTGAAGTCAAGCTCAGTGAATCAATCTTTTCCAATGCACAAAGTGGTGCGAGAAAAAGCACCACAATAACCAAGATCACCAGCTTCCTATGATCCCAAAACCCATTTCCCAACCATTGATCAAAAACCCCAATATGGTGATTTGAACCCGACATCACATCACCCATAATAATCAAATAAACAACCAAAACACCAGCATTGTTCACAATTATACAAATGTCAGACAAAATCCTAGCTGTCCTACCTAATGCAGCTTGAACCACCACCCCATACGACGATGCATTACATTGAACCGAAAATCTAACAAACAATTCAACACTAATTTCCGACAAAATGCCCATCAAAACTATCAATACAACCCCTAATGGTAACCCCAAAACTTTCATGGTGGCAGGTAAGGCCATAATGCCAGCTCCAATCATGGATGTGGTGAGGTTAAAAACAGCACCATAAATCCCAGACCCAGATTTATTACCACCAGCAATAAAGGTTAAATTATCAAATTCAATGTCGTCGTCGTCATCAAAATCATGATCTTCATTGACGAACCCATGTTCACTATCAACAGATAGCAATTTGAAAGATGGGTTTTGGTGAGATCTAGGTTTTTCAGATCCAAAACTATCATCTTGTAATTGTAGCTCCACATATGAATTCTTAGGAAGAGCTGAATAATTAGTCATTGGAATTGTGTGTGCGTATATACTGAGAGGGATGATTGTATTAAAGTTTCACAGAAATAATCGAGGTAAAAGAAAGCCTTACATAAATCGTGAAATCGGTCTTCTGGGTTGAATTGAAGTTCTGAAAATTGTAAAAATGGATTGAGAAGAGATAGAGAGAGATATACAAACCCTAGATCTCAGGGTCGACGATTTTTTTCTCTCTCTAACGATTAACATCCATGCAATAGCCAATGAGATGTGAGAGACAGAGAGGGAGAAAGTGGATTTTGGGTTGTTTTCCTATTGGTTGGTTGAGCGTGAAATTTTGAGCCGTCGACTTGGAATATGGCTGGGGGTTTTATCTTCTGTTACCTCCGAGATATGTAGCCTGCACCTACGCTCTAAATAACACCGTTCGTTGGAGAAGTGGGACCCCCCATTGATATCCAATGGTGTGGTGCATAACAGGAACGACCGGAGTTAGATTTTTGTCGGTACAGTCTCTTCTCAACGTACATCATTCATTAAATAGAACCCTCGTAGAGAAAGTCTATCGGAGAAAATTTAAATCCGAACCAAGTTTGTTTCATAAATATTATCATGAATTGATTAAACATTAAATAAATTTTAAATTACTTATTTTTTGGTAATGTGTTTGAATCTTATAGTTTTCCAACAATTCTATTTAACTATAAATTATTCATGTTCTTGTTTTTGTTGATAATAACAAAAGTTTGAGGAAAAAATCGAGATAAAACTCTATCTGAATGTGATCATATTAGCTCGAATCCATAAGAAAATTCCCGTACCACAAAGCTAGGAGCAATAAAATTTTCATAAATCAAACTCTATTTGCTAACATATAAGAGTCGTGGAAGATCCTAAATGGGACAGTGTATGTCACTAGAACCAGTGGTGACATAACAGGGGTGAACCTAACATTGGGCTGGGGGCAAATGTCCATCCTCAAATTTTTTTACTTGATATTAGCTATGTATTTTTTAAAATAAATTTAAATGTATTTTTTTATTATGTTCTTGTGATATAGATTAGGATAAAAAAACTCATACCTAAATGATTACTAACATTTGACAAATGAAATTGAAATCTAATTTCACTACTTAATATATTGTGACTTGAATAGTAAGTCCCAATATTTAATAAGGTCCACTGGATATGCTTTGAACATGTCAGAATAAATTTTGAACATATTAAAAATATTTTGTAATTTTTTTTAAATTATAGAATTATTTTATTATTATATAGATATTGCAGATTATTATTTTATTAGAGATACTGTAAATAATAATAATTAATTTCTTTTTTATTTCTTGTGTATATGTGATGTACATCATTTTTTAATTATTTAAGTTCAATAAACTTTGAAATTTTTAAATATTATTTCAACAAATATAAATTTAAGAATTTCTGCAGATCCAAAAAAAAAAACCCTTCAACAATCAATTAAAAAATAGAACTTATTAATATACCCACCACCCTAAACTAATTTTTCAGCTCCACCCTTACAACATAGGAACCACCTGTGCTTTATAACCCCCACTTGAATCTTAATAAACGAAGAATGCTCTTGGAACCTAATTTCCAAACCCAAATTCCCTATAACATTTACATTTAAATTGACCGTGAACCTTATCAAACATTACAACTCAGTGTTAAATCAATAATTTTACTAAAATCACATCATTATATCAACAAATTAGATTAAACTTTTAGGTCCCAATAACATTACTTATAAATAAATTACCATTTTGTAACATTAAAAAAAAAATTTGTATTAAAAAAAATTCAATCCTATATCATCTAGGAGATGGGTGAAAATCAACATATCTTGGAGTTTTTGTTTCGCAACCCCAGGCGGAAGTAATCATCAAATAAACCTAGATGGATATCGGACATTAACTTATGCTGGCATGACTTATTTAAAACGCGCCACACTAATTCATGGCCATTACAAAAAAGAACATTCAGGCACTAAGAAGCAGCCAAGATTTACATTCAGACGGTTTTCCATAGTAGTGGCTCAAAAGCCTTAAAAGAGTAATAAATGTACACAAATCATCAAAGCATCACACAACAACTTGGGATCAAATATTATATACCATAGCTCCTGGGAGTTGTATTTAGGAACCACCCGCCAGGGAAGCTTATTTACACTTCTTGTGTGAAGCAGACGATACGTGAGCATGCTCATGCAGCACAGAGAACTTCATTGTTATCAATGCCAATCTTAATGTTAGCCATATATGTACAAACACAAATGCCATGCTTTATTGTGGTCATTTATATACAGCAGCACTTCATTGCTGGTGAGACATTCGGGAAATGTCTTTCTTACAGACTATTCAGGCCGAAAGTTTACCAAATTCGGGAGGTCTGCTAACTGAAGCTTGTTTATATCACTCGCAGTCACCTTGCAGGACTCCAAGGTCAGTGATTTGAGATTCTTTAGTGGCTTCAGATGCCGCAACCCGGCGCTGGTAATACGAGAGTTTGACATGTTTAAAGAGACCAATTGTCTCAATCCTGCATTATTAGCGAGTAATATAAAGCAAGCTGAACCGCCAACGACACAAAAGATAGCAGTCTAGAAATCTCATTGTCAAAACATGAAAAAGTAAAACTATTCTATCATCAATTGCAGGTAACGCTTCTACATGCATGAGAAGCAACTTAATAGGGCTTCCAGAATCATTGATGAATTGTCCAGTTTCACTACGATTGGAGGGATAAATGACCAGTAGTTTGGTTGGTTGTCTTCAAGAGGATGGAAACAGTCCATTTCAATGATCACTTCCAAGAACAATATATTAGACCACAGCTTCGAACATCCCAGCAGAAATAGCAGTCACCAACTAATGACAATGCAATCTACAAAACATCACTGCATGGCGGAAATCAGACCCACAATTCCAGACTGGCGCATCCACTGTTAGCCATACAACAATGATTTTATGGCTTTGGCACGTCAACCCTCAGAAGATGACTTTTGAATTAGTGTTATGACATACCCACAAAAACAAACAATGTACCTCACATGTCAAAATGCAGATGTTCCATAGAGCTTCCAAAAGTAAAAGAAATGGCATAGATAGTTTGAAGTTTGAAGTTGATGGAAAGTACCAGATATTGACTCCAGGGATTTGTCAGTCAGGTGGTTGTTTTGGGAAAGATTTAACAGTGTCAAAGATGAAAGATCTTTGATATTCTTGACACCAGCATCAGTTAATCCTCCACCACAAATTTCCAGCGAGCGCAAGTTTTTAAAACCTTTTTCAACACACACAATGGGGAAATTTACAATTAGATTTAAAGCCAGCAATAATCGGAAAACAAAGTCCAGATGGTTTGATAGAAGCAGATTGTTCCCATATAAATCAGTTTTATACCTAAATAGTTTTATAAAAATGGATCATTCGTTGCAAGTAAACTTTAATAGTGATAATTACAGAAAAATTAACAGCATTAAAAGGCAAAAGGTTGAAATTTCCAAAACACCACCCTCCAATCAGATGTCTTTTAGGTTGAAGTTTTAACAACCAAATAGTATCGAAACAAATATTTAAATCTTAAAAATTGTTAATTTTTAGCAACCAAATAATATCAGAACAAATATTTTAGACATGGTTATAGCTGTGAGATAGAGATTTGCAGCTCCAAAAATAAATGTCCAAGAGGGTTATTTCAAGCATACTTCGCAAATAGTTTGTTCCAGAATCAGTAATACGAGCCCCAAAAAGATCCAACTCAGTCAATCCAGTCAAACCTACATCAGCAAAGGCAGGAAAATGGGACCTTGCACGCAGTATAAAAAGGATATAAAGAAGAAAGAAATACTGTAACATATATCTACTTGAATCATAGCCAAAAAGAAATGGAAAAAGAACTAAAACATAAAAAAGCAACCTCAAGCAAAAATTCTCGCAAACTAAAGTTAGTAGCATCCATTGTATGACTCTTGCATAGAATTTATGTGCCCAGAGATGGTTATCGAAATGGAAAAGAAAAATAAGTAGAGAGAGAGTGAGAGAGAATTAGTGATGTGCGATTAATTTTGAGGTAATATTTCAAAAGTGGTAAAAATGAACTGAAATACTATTGACAAAGAAGGCTGCAATAAGGCCGTCCAAAAATGTTACAAGAAGTTGACATGAGCCATGTGCAACCCAATGTACCAGCCAAAGCTAGTAGTTCCCTGGTTCTAATTACCTTTTTTTCAATGTGTACTTCCCTGGTCTTAATACGGCACCGAAACATCCATACAATGACAGTATTGGACTGAGCTAAATTGTCATAGGATTTTTGCATGCAAACAATTCCACTAGCACATTCTGTGAGTAATGCCCTAACTGTGACCAATAACAGGACACATGCCCAAGCTTAGATACTTGGGCCCTAGTGTCCTGGAAATTAAGTCTGCAACCTATTTGCATGGCAAAGAAAAATGAAAACTCTGATTTGCATCAATACCCCATAAAAGCTTTGAAGTACTTTTTACTTCTTCGTCTTTTACTTTTTTGCTTTTTTCAAAAATAAATTGAAAGTGCTATTTGCTTGTTGTGTATGTGCTTTTTTGTTTTGTCTTTATCGGAACTTGTTATGTTCTTCCAAAATCATATGTATACAAGTACAAATATAAGGGAATTTTATACAAAAAAGTATATAAATAATTTTATTATAGACCGATCAAATGTGCTTTTATTGTTATGATGAAATTACGTTCTTTACTTGCAAGATGGTAGCTTTAATGATGATTGGTAAGTTACTATTGTTCCAGACTATATTTTATATTTTGAAACATTGCATGATAATCTCATTTTCAATGCCATTAAAGATATTTTTCTCAATATATTGAGAGGGTGAAATATAGGAAGGAGGCAAGAGTAAACTTGAAAAATAAGTTATGGGATTGAACTAACTAAACATTAGTTAAGTTCTCTAATTGCAAGCTTATGCTCTGTTTGGTAGGAGAAATGAAAAGTAGGAGGGATACACTTTCCATCCTCCAAATAAGGAAAATAGAAATGATACTCTTTTATTCTTTTATGTTTGGTTGGATGGAAGAAAAATAAAAATGATTAATTTTTTTTTTTTGTGCTTGGTAAGATGGAAAAAATAAATTTTTAATTTTTTTTAAAAAAAAGTATAAATACAAATTTTATCATTGTATGTATACATGAAATTAATGTATATATAATATATGTATATATCAAAGGATATATAGACAAATAAGATACATTTCAACACAAATAATTAATGTTTTATCCACTTTTCCATCCTTTCTATTTTCCTTTCGTACCAAAAATGTATTTTATCTATCCTTCCAACTTTCCATCCTTCCATTTTTCCATCCTTCCATTTTTCCATCATACTAAACGGAGCATTACTGATTAAATCTAATTGTGAGAGATGAGTAAAAGGACTATGTACATGATAATTTTTTTGAGGGCAAAAATATAGAAATATAAATATATAAAACAATCTTTGCACAAAAAAATTGGGTGGGGGCAACAGCCCCACAGTACACCGGGTGGCTCCACCCCTGGTCATGGTGCCTGCACCCATGCTCCTAGAATGGACTAATCCATGACCTTATAAGTCGGGGCTGGCCAGAAGAAAAAGAACAGAAATAATGAAATTGCTTGACACCCCAAGTTAAGAAATTTTCACTGCTTTTCTTGGTCAGAGAAATTTTCACACCTTGATTAGGCATCACAACTGTAGATCACAAAGACATAAACTCGTGACTTTAATTTTTTCATGGTTACTATATTAAGTTGGTCTGTATCGTGGCCATACCCCACACTATGCTCAAGATGAGTTCAGCCATCAAGGAAATGCTAAATCCTTACCACAACGAAAGACTTTTATGGAAAATAAGCATAAAAGCAATAAAATCAGTAAGTGAGAAAGCTAATAATTAGACGCCTTATGTCCCAATAGTTCATATCAGATCAATTGAACTCATAAAGGAACTAAGCATACATATAGAACATACATCAAAGAAGCAATATCTAAAATACCACATACAAGAATCTGGGTGAAAAAGTCCTCCCAACATGCTTACTTGTAAGAGCTGCAAGCCCAGTGTCTGTGATTTGGCGAGAATCCAAATTGAGTGATTTTAGAGATGATAATCTAGACAACTTCCTCAAGCCACCATCGGTAACAACAGTGAACGACAGATTCAAACTCTGCAGATTACCCAAATCTACAAAGTTGAAGACAAACACAAAATTACATTCGACTTCAATGGAACTTTGTGGAGTTAGTTTAATACATCGAAAATCATGTCAAAGACGTTTCAAAAAGAATCAACTATATCCATTGGACACAACAAAATACATTATAGGTACCCGATCAGTTCGACATGTGGATGCTATCAAAATCATACCCAACTAAACTTGCATGTTTAACAGAATGAAGAGATGAAGAAACTTTATGATACTTTATAATCTCTTTATCGGATACTGAATATATCCAACCCAGTCAAGCTTTTATCTAGGACTAAATATGTCCAATAAATATTTCTACATCTGATACAACGCATTTGTTCTAAGGGATTACCGATATAAGGTGTGGAATTGAAAAACTTCAACATCCAAATATCCCCCCTTTCACAACATGTTGGGGGTAGCCGGATCTCACACCTAAGCACATATCAGGAGCTGATATGCATACTGACTATATGTAGTAATGACTAGAATAATCATTACGGTCAATTAAACATCAAACAGGAAAGAGATGAGCCAAAAATGATAGAGACCAGAGTCATATCCTAAAAAATTGACTAACATGTGTACGAAATAACTAGTCATTACACAACATGATATTAAAACTATCTAATAATATTCCTATGTTCAAAGACAATTTCACCATGCACCGTCACATCTGCCTCGGACCTTTGTAATCTCACATGACTCTCCATGATACACTCATGCATTTATTTAAACAAAAATTCAGATGTAATACACATTCATACATAAGAGACGATTAGCACCAAAAAATATCGATTGACTTCAGAAGTTTAGGAAAGAAGTATCTACACACATGCAGAAGAGCTGAATAATCAATCATCTCAGTAGCTAAATAACATTTAAGACTCATGAGAAATGTATATGCAAATTTGCAAAGTTCATATAACAATCTGTCACATCTTGTATGCAGAGAGTATAAAACAATGTCTAACCAGAAAGATAATGCAATCCATTGTTTCCGACTTCCGTATCGGACAACTCCAAATATATCAAATGCTGAAGGCCTGTGCTTCAAACATTGAACAAAAAATATGAGAAATCAGCAAATGAGAGAGAGAGAGAGAGAGAGAGAGAGAGACTAAAATACTACAATTAGGTGCAAAGTTCAATAAGGGACAAGCAGGCAGACCAGGTTCGTTGACTTAATCAAAGAATCAAAGACCTCTGGATACCAGTAATTGAAATACCTGCTTAAAAAAAACACGATGTTGCTTTCATAGGAACACAGGAGCACTGCACCAGCAGGATATGTGAAAACCAGAGGACTAATACTTATCCAGCTACCTACTTATTTGCCTCACTCAAATGATTAGGTAGAGGCTCACTTACCCAGTCTAATACCCATGAAGACAAGCTTAGGAGTTGAACCTCTTATTTTCTTTTGTTTTCAAGGAAATACAACAAATGGGTCACACTCACAGAGCCTGGGTTATTAAATTCATAGCTCGACCAACAGCCTTGAACTTTAGAGGAAACTAAAGTTTTGAGATGGCCCACAGAATTGAATTGGCTCCATTTCTTCCATAGGAACTGCTCATTTCCTTTTAGCAGTATCTAACACGACGTTCAAATTCATGTGATCAATGAAAAGTCCATGAAGTAACGTAGTTGCAAATTTCACAGTTAAGATTGCTTTTGTATCAAGGTTGCATCATACATGTTGATTTTTGATTGAGGCACAAAATGTAACAGAATACAAATACACATGACAACCAAAATACGCCGCAAGGAAAATGAAAAAAATGGTAAGGCGGTATCATTCATATTCTAGAAAGTTTTTTCTCAAGTGACCTCTGAAAGAAAACAGAACAATCACCAAATGCACAACAGGCAAAATGAGGAAAAAGAAAAACTGTAAATGAACTAGACTGTGTAAAAAGTAACCTTTCAAGTTAACCAGCCCTTCGTCGCCAATCCGACATGAATCCAGATTCAAGCTCTCCAAATTTGTTAAACCTGCTTGACAATACCAGAAAACATGTACGGACAGCGAAGCATCATTCTTCTGTCATACACATATGTTCTTCAACACAAACACTGAACAATAGACTGCACCCTCGGTAGAGAGTAACCACAAAATGGAATATACAGCAGCCATGAATTCCTCAAGAAATGCAGTTAAACATATCACATCATGATTCTTCCACAAAAGTCATTTTGCCAAAATGTCAACAATCAACATAACATCTCCTTGAACATATTCCGAAGTGGGGGATGAGGGTTAACCCCTCATCCATCCACATTCCTAACTTCCAACTTGGGGAGCCTGTGCAGAAGCTCTGTGTTAAGCTACTAACATCGGGCTTCTCCATAAGCCCCTTTCCACCTTCCCCCCTATACTTGCAACTCTTACCGTCAAAGAAATTCCTTATTCCCTCTTACTCCCGATTGCTAGAGTTTCCCGATACAGAACAGGAACTTCACTCATACTTCAACAACTGACTTAACTGATTTACTACTATTGCTTTTTTTGCTTAATGTAATACATGTATGTCATATTAGCAAAAAAAATCCAATTCTTCTGGTACAAGGGCCATATTTTCTCCCTAAAACTGTCTTAGCATAAACAGAGGGGCATAGGTTTCCAACCATATGCATGTGACTTGTATTGGTAAGAGAAGGAAGAGACCACCTCTTAGGTTCACCAAAACAGCATCTGAAATGTCATTGAATCCCAAGTTCAATACTTTCAAAGCATGCAACCCTACAGAAACAAGACATACAGAAGATAGCCTTCATACATGTGATGAAAATTACAGAAAAAAATTGATGCTAGACCTTGTAAATTTAAGACACATGGTTGTGCTAAAGCTAAGGATGCATGACAAAAGTGTGCAAAAAACTTACTCGCAAAATTCTTGCACCCATCATCGGTCAAATTACATCTGCTTAGATTCAAATATAACAGAGAACCCAGAGCTGCATAAAAACAAATACATCAAACATGAAGTTAAAAATGAAACTTGAACAAAGTCTTGTGCAGATGATATTATCAGTAACATGCATTTCTCTGAAACTTTCAGAACAAATCAATTTATTTGTTTTACAACCACAATACAATCGTTCCAACAATCTAAGATAGCTGCATTGAACCAGATATAACAAACTCCCAAGAGTAAACAATTCAATCATAAATAAACAAATTCTAAAAAGAAAAGTAATTGTTATGATTATCCATTCTCCCTAGTTCACACAAAAGTACAAAATGTCAAATATTTATCTCTACATCACAAGTTTATATTTCCAATTTTGAATACTTTCGGGGTATGCATTGAACATCAAATTAAACAATCAGAGGTAGACTGATGAATCAGCATTGACAGAATTGTTTCAAGAGACGATTTATCAAATGTAGCTAGCTCTAGGCAAGAAGCATAGTGCACCAAAGCTCGCATTTTTGGTGCGAGAAGCATCCCAGGCATAGAATAATTTTCCATACCATTTTTCTTACAGGAGCTACAGGTTACAACCTCCCAAGCTAAAACAAGATATTGAAAGACAACAGCCATCAGTAGAAAAGCCAAGGACAACGTGAACCTGAAAGCGACTCCAAGCATGATGTGGTAACAAGGCAACCCTCCATGTTCAATAAAGCAAGGCTGTGCAAAGCTGCAATGAACATAGATAAGTTCCAACAAATTTATTATTGTGGGGTATCTCTGACTCAGTAAGCAACATAAAGTACAAATTTATACCTGGGACAGTTCTTACACCTGTCAGATTAAGGTAAGATAATCAATGACATGTCATTTCACTGATTTAAAAAAGATTTGGTAGGAGTAATGTCCCTAAACAGATAACCCCCACCCCCTTTTTTCCCCCAAGGTGCAGGGGGTGGAGGAGGGGGGGAATAACTACACCTAAGAGTACATGTATATCAGAATAAGCAAATATAAAAATCAAGTCCTATGGTTAAAAACCCAGTAAAGATGAAAAGAGGTAAGGGTTCTAACTAGTAGGGCACCCAGTAGCATTCGGATGGAGGGAACTACTTCAATCTTGGGGTGACATTCTGCTACAAAGTCTACAGATTTCTAGGTAGTAACATCAATGGAATAAAATTTAGAGCAATGACTTTTTGTCCTTCATAAATGAACAACCTTCAAGTTTTTACAATCTCATTATCGAAGATACACTCAACTTTAACTATATCCTTTTACAAATACTTTGAGCCCGGCTTATGTGGAGGATTCCAACAAACACAAATATTTTTGTCTTCAACACATGAACTTTTCACTCAAATGTCAAGGCATCCCCTCCTATCACCATAATCAAACATACAGAACAATAATCCATCCATAGCTCATTTTAGCCCAATCCAGTCGTTTTGAGTCATCACATTTATCCTCCACATGTTGGATCCATCTTTCACTTTTGCAATAAGTTAGAAACATTGGATAGACTCCTCATTGTAAACACAAACAAATTTATGACTGTGGATATGTGGAGAGAAGTAGACGCACACACACACACACACACAGAAAATCTAGGATCCAACTGCAACAAGGTCTTGAGGAAAGAAGAGAAAAATAAAAATGCAGTATTCAAATCACTTTGAATAAGAAGTTTTGATCCAGCACAAAAAACTTTTAAACCTCAAGTGACCCATTTTTTATGTCCCTGAGAGCTGCAAATTTGATTGTGAGCATGGCCCATGGGCCATGGCTCTAAGGCTACATATGTTTCATCATGATAATATGAAAGTAGCAAAAAGGAATAACTAATAATCAAAAAACTTATACCTTTCAAAAAGGTGACACCATAGTCTGTAACCTTGCTGGAGGAAATTTGTAACACTTTCAAGTTTGTAAGCCCTGAAAATTCGACAACCAAATATTTTATGACCCAAAAGATTGGATAATTAGCTCAGTAAAAGCACATGCTAACATTATCTTGCTCTTTGTATGACCTCAACACCAAGTATATCAACAACAATTACAACCTAGCAATACAAGTTGAACTGTTCCTCTTCAAAGATGAAGAGAAAAGGGAGAGGAAAAATTTTAAGAAGGGGGGGATGAGATTCACCTGCAAGAGGCTTCATATCGGTGTCCGTGATGCAATTACAACAGTTGATGTTAAGAGACTCTAGCTTTGTTAGTCCTGCCAAAATATGAAGCATGCAACTCAGTTTGATGACCTGACAGTTTGGGGTGCAATTCACTTTGATCAGGTAAAATGATAGATGAAAGAAGGTCTACATTTTGGGAAAATGCCTTGTCAGTGGGTAATATACGTCAATTATCATGGAATTCCACTCAAATATACCAGTATACCAATAAATTGAGAAAAGACCTTCAAATAATAAAACATTTTACAAAAAGGAAACTTAAAAGTTGTCAAGAGTACAAGAAGACGTAATCGTAACCAGCATAAACCTCTTAATTTAAAAGCAATATGCACATCAAGTGCAACATTGAAAATTCCATTTCAAGTGGTCACAGCAAAACTGGATAAATAAAAAAAAGACGAGCCAGAATAAGCTGCACACTGAGGACACAAGCCTTCATTAAGTAGCACAGCCATTATTTTCTGCCAGAACTGCATATTCAAATAAAAATTTCCCATTTTGAGGGATTCATTCCCAACCTTACACCACAAAAGTTTTAAAAAAAAAAAGATTAATAAGAAGCTATCTTATCAGTAAATGTTATACTGGAACCAAAACTGAGATTTCAAAAAATTGGGTCATGTAATTTCATTTTAAGTTTTTATCAAGTTGATTTTTTTATTTCTTCTTCTTTGGTGGGAGTGGACTTAATATTACCTCCAAGTGGTAATTTAGACAACTAAAGATAGCACTCAATTTAGTCCTCATTAATAGGGGTTGGTGAGGGTGTAGGATCTCATAAAACCATAATACAGGACTAAATCTTTAATGCCAAATAAGTAACGGACTCAAGTGCTGAAATAACATGCAACATTAAATTCCTCAAGAAAATCCCTGAGATAGTCCATTGATAAGTGAAAAGTCAATTCTTTTTAGCTGAAAATTCATACACTATATAATTAACATTATTCTTTTACACTAACTGAGCATGAACTGTCAAAAGAACTTAACGGAGAAGCCAACAAAGGATTTCCATTTAAGCACTCACTAGGGTTATTTACTAACCATTGAGTTCTCTACAGTGACTCTTTCTCTCTCACACACACGCACACACAGGAGAAGCACACAGGGAGGTCGGCAAAACTATCTGAAATATCATCTTAATCCACTTCGTCATCAGTAGAGACATTTCTAACCAGATTATAAGAAGCAGTGCACCGCATACGCAGGTGCAAGTCTGAAGACAACATTACTGATACCACAAATGCTTTGCCATCACCACTTTCTTGACAAATGTCCTCACAGAGGGAATGGATCGCATAAATAAATTCTCTAGAGAACATAGACTAAAAATTCAGTAAATCTAAGACTCCCAGTGTAGTAGTCCCAGTCAAGAGCTACGTATTATTTGGAGAGCTAAATACCATTCCAAAGTTTATACCTGTTAAATCAGTATATCATTAAATTTATGCAGCATCACTTAGGAGGTTCAACTAAGAAAGAGTGCATGCAAAGGATAACAAACCTTTAAGATGAACAAGTCCACCATGTATCTTTGTACATCTTTCTAGATCCAACTTTACCAAGTTAACTAGGCCAGAAAGGGCACTCATTCCTTGAGCAGTAATAGCATTATTTCTTCTAAAACTCAGAGTTGTCAAGTTAGAGAGACCTGAAAAAATTAACATAATCTTAAGCAGAAGCCAATTGAGTGAAGAAAGCCACTCCAATGAAAACATATGTTGGTCCAGCTGCTATTTCAAGTTGATATCAAGAGGACGAGGGGAGGAGGAGAAGGAAAGCAGATGAGAGTAATATTGATGCCCACAAAAGGATGCTTTCAATAAACTACAGCTGCATACAAGAAGTTAAATGCAAATGTCCAGACCATTCATATGAAGCTCTAACAATCTGTAAACACTCATCACGCTAAGAAAACAAACCAATAATATGTAACCCTCTGAATCTTCTTAAAATTAATTTTATTGATTGTGCTGATAATTCAATTCAAACTCATTGTGGACACAGCTCCATACCTCCTGCCATAAAGAATCTGACCTCACAACTACTAGTAGCTGAAGGAGAACAATACAGCCAATGTCACAAAGGTATCTCCACGTGGAAAAGTGGAAAAAAGGGCATGCCCCCACAACCGTACGAGTTTATTTCTGTGTCTTCCTCCAAGTCATGTCTAGACTCAATTAAGTGCAGATACAGAATCACATATTTGCACACACACACACACACACAGGAGAATTCAATTAGTAAGCATGGTCAAACAAGTAAATCAATTTTTTGGGAGGCAGGGGAAGGAGAGCAGTGGGAGGAATACCACTGATATATTCCAGCCCACGGTCTGAAATCTGCTCGCAAAAACTAAAATTCAAAGCTTGAAGATTTGTGCAATCTCTGAGATGAATCAACCCAGAATCAGTAACATCAGACCCAGAAATATCAACTGAAAGTAAAGATGGCCCTTGTGAAGAAATAACACCCATCCATGAGTCATCAACTCCTGGGTATTCCCCCATATTAAGATCCTGCCAAGAATGAGACAGATACCTCTTCAGACTGGTGACCACAAATAATCAAATAGTACAGAGAATCAGTACTGGGAGATACCTGCAAAGCACAATCTCGAAAAGCTTCAAGATTTACACCAGTCATACATAGGGAATAAACCAAGTCATCAAAGATCTGCTGACTAATATCCCTTGGCAGTATGGAAAAGTTGTTATATTTATTTATGTCCTGTTATGCAGCAAAGAATAAGATATCAGTCCACATGAAAAGAAATCATACTCCTGTGTCCTGATATGAGCTTGATAAACGAGAAGACATACTTCACGAATCTTATAAATGCACAGTTCCATGAGAGACGGGCATTTCCCATTTCCCTGTTTAGGGTCCACAGCTGCTCGAGCAAATGAGGCTCCCAACCACTTTGAACTACCGCATTTACAATATCTTCCAGAAAATCCCCTATCAATGACATCCTCATCAACCTGTTGGTCTCGCTTTCTTGAACAAGCTCCCCCCATGGAGTGACAATCTTAGAACTAAGTTGTCAAGAAAGCGGCAGCCAGACAGTTGTAAAATTCATTCAACCACCGATCATTAGGGCAAGCACTCTACTTCACCTTGCAAAACAAAAAGAAACAATAGCAGTCTTAGTATAGGGCTCATATTGGTCATTTGTAGCAGATTGCTAAATGAAGGAGTGGGATTCTATACATTATTCTTTCTTTTCCGGTTTATTCGTTTCCGTTGAGCTCTGTTTCATTCTTTTCCTGAAAGAAATTTACAAAAGGTCTATGAAACTACTTTCTAACTAAAACTAACAAAGTTACAAAGACATCCGACACTACTTTCTGAATAAAACTCACATGAGGTCCTACAGCGCTACTCACAAGTTTTTCTGTCTATATAAAGACAATGTATTCAACACAACATGTCCAAAACTCACAGCCATTTTAAGTATTTCTGTAGCATTTGAAATATCTAAAGAAATACTTAAAAAGGCATGCTCGGAGTCCTGGCTATCAGCTCACCTATGCATAGAATCCATGTGAGGGATGATAATTGTTAACAGGTGTCTTCAATTTTGGGCGATAACACCAGGATAGAAGAAGTAGGGAAGGTTAACAATTGGAAAGTTAAGAATTTCCATTCAAGCAGAAACATTGAGGGACTATAATGGCATAGCAAAAGGAATTTCGGTTATATCGGTGAAGTTATCAGACTGAAATAGCCATCTCTTGCTACAAAATATTATATGTGTAATGCTTGTATCTTAAGACCCACTTGCTGAACTGATGGCCGAGTAAGAGTTCTATTCAGTGGGCTTCATATCTAAAAACTGTCACCTATGGTATGTTCTCAAAAACCTCTTCACTCCTACTGTCGTATTCACACAAACATCCTCTGTTCGGTTGCTGACAACCCACATGAAAAGAAAAGAGAAACTCAATCGCTTCGCTTAATTACTTCAATGGGAGCACCAAAATAAGAAATTAAACAAAGTTCGAACTCAAGTTAGAAACAACAATCATATCATGATCTAGTGAAGCCTCTTATTTTCATCAACGCCTATATTTCCAAAGAATAAGAAGAAGAAACAGCTTTTCGTCGTTTTCTCCGAGAAGAAACAGAACAAAACAAAAGTTGTTCACGAAATCAACAAAAACATAATCAGCTAGCTCACCAATGAATTCGAAATTCAAAAAGTGTTACATATGCGTATATCTACAACTTAGATATACACACAATTAAGAGAAAAAAAAATCAACAAAAGCAGAAATCAAACCTAAGGCAATCATCGGTCTGTTCCTTGCCATCGAATAACTCTGTCGTGTGTGTGTGTGTGTGAGAGAGAGAGAGAGAGAGAGAGAGAGAGAGAACTGATGTAAGCCGAAAGTGAGAGAAGGACGAAGACTGAGGAAGCGTACAAGTACAGAGGTGGCGGATGACGAAGCAATGTCCGAGCCAACGGATCAGTGTCACGTGGAGGTTCGGTGAGTGAACAGAGGTTCGGAGTTTGGTGCTTTCAAGATAAGAGAGTGGCGGAATGTCGGGCCCGCCTGGAGGTCTGTTTTCCCGCTTGCTTTTATCCCGTTGGTTGTTGGGGTCCACTTTGGGAGATCACATACGCAAAGTTTTGGGTTAATTACAAGTTGCACTTCGAAAGATAATTTTAATTTTAATTTATACTCTTAAAGATAAAAATTTATATCAATGTGTACCCTAAAATTAAAAATTTTAATTTATACCCTCAAAGATAAAAATTTGTATCAATGTGTACCCCTAAAGATAAAAAATTTTAATTTACACCCTCAAAGATAAAAATTTGTATCAATGTGCACCTAAAACTAAATTAATAATTACACCTAGATCCCTTCATGTTTGTCACTTAATTATTTGGACTCTTTCACATTTAGAATATTACTTCTACATCTCACAGTGTTTGTGCACGTGTAACACATAACTCATTTTCGTTGATATATATTAATATAACTGTTAAAAAAATATGATTTTATCCTAATAAAATATTATAATTTCATATTACCTTTTATTTTGTGGGTCCGATATATTCTAAAGTTCAAAATCAAGTTTATTATTTTAATGTCCAATAAAATGTAGATATTTATATAATATTTTTTATATCCAATGTAATATATCACTCAATGTGCAACATTTTATTCTATTAAACATTCAAATGGTAAGTTTAATTTTGAACTTTAGAATATATTGGACTCATAAAATAAAAGAAAATATAAAATTATAATTTTTTATTATGATAATATCATATTTTTTAACGGTTATATTAACAGATATCAACGAAAAAAGATTACGTGTTACACGTGCACAAACGTCATGAGATGTAGGAGTAATATTCTAAATGTGAAGGGGTCAAAATGATTAAGTTACAAGCATAAAGGGATCTAGGTATAATTTATTAATTTAGTTTTAGGTGCATATTGATACAAATTTCTATCATTGAGGGTGCAAATTAAGATTTTTTCTCTTTAGGGGTGCATATTGATACAAATTTCTATTTTTGAGGGTACAAATTAAAATTTTTGATCTTTGGGGGTGTACATTGATACAAATTTCTATCTTTGAGGGTATAAATTAATATTTTTTATCTTTTAGGGTACAAATTAAAATTTAAACGATCTTTTAGGGTATAATTTATAATTAACCCCAAAATTTTTCTCCAAATTGTTAATTGAGAGTCTCTAATCAAAAGCTGGGTATGATTATTAATTAGGTAATGAAGACTGATATTTTTTTGCGTAAAATACACACTTGACCCCTCAAATTATGAGTTTTAAAATAACTCAAAAATATATCAAAAATATTATAATATGGCCCTTTTATTACTTCCGTTATTTTTTTTGTTAAAAGTCAACCTATTGACATTGACAAAAAATTTACAAAAAAATCACATTGCAACACTTTTGTTATATAGAATGTGCAATGTAAAAAATTTAATTTGTAAAATTTTAAAATAAAAATTTTAAAAAAAATTAGGATACAAAGTGCAACTCCCCTAATATTTAACACTCATCACCCAAAACATGTAATTACTTTCTAACAATTATTCTAATGTGATCATTGACCAATATAATAGTTGATACTACTTCTAAAAATAGCTTGAAAAGAAAAACTTTTATTTTCCTCTTTTATTATCAATGAATAATCTTTTGTCAATTTCATCAATCATTTATAAGTAACATAACTGATTTGTTAACATTCTCCATGTGAATAATAAATTATAATTAATTAAGCATTTACAATTTGGAAGTTTAAGACAAAGAGTAAATACATCATTAATATTTTACCTTACTAAAAAAAAAACAAAAGTTTTTCTCTTTTATCTTCATTCAATAATCTTTTCATCACTGTTTAGTTTTCTAATCGATAAGAAACATTCAATCAAGAACATGTTCAGGAAGTTTAAAAGGTATTCACCATTATGTTTTTTCAGTTCTTCTCCTTTCGTTACATGTCAATTCAATGCATCGATCAAAAACCTTAGAAGTAGGTCCGGTCACGATCATTGCATGTCTTGAGATTTTGAGTGGATCCCAATTGGTTCTTACAATTCATTGTCACGGCTTGTACTGTGGCCTTTAAATTACTCTACTCGGTGAATATGCAACCTTCAAATACTTTGTTGTTGATGCCAATTTCGACAAAGTACGAGCTTGTTTATTCCACTACTACTATCACTTATTCTTCTTCTCCTCCTTCTTCTACAGATTATACGTCGTCGTCCATGATGCCAAGGTTATTGGAACCCACAGCGATTCCTGCGTTGCATGTGGGAATTTGACCAAAAAACAGCTCTAGCTGCAAAATGGTTAAATACTGGTACAAATTCAATATATTGTTACACCCAAAACATCCATCCAAATACATAAAAATATTCGTTATGATTATTTTTTTTTTGTGGTGTTTTTTTTTTCTAAATTAAACTAATTGTAGTTGTATTAGAATTTTTCAGTTTTTTTCTATCCTTCTTGTTGTTGTTATGAGGACTTAAGGCCTTCAAGGTTGGTAGCGGTGGATTTACACAATGTGAACTGGAACTTGTACTGAACTACTGGGACCCGATAAATATATTTGATGTTCAACAAAATCATAGATTTAATTAAATTTAAGCTATTAATGCTTTGGTAGTATCTTCAAATGCACGGTTACTTTTTGTTCTCGTAGGGAATAGATCTTCCAATACTATTAGTGTTCAAAAAAGTACACCAATACTTGCACCGGATGAATAATACGTCACTTAGACCATCAATGCTCATTACTTTTCATTTGGTTTTGCATTCTACTTTAATTTCTTTCAATGAACCTTGATATCATTATTTCAGTTTCATTTGGGCAGTGGATTGAGACCTTTTGAGACTGTTATTGTTGGCTTTTCAACAGTGCATTCATTTATGGTATGCATTCTCTGTATTCTTTACACGATTTGCCTGATTGTACTTAATAATGTGAAGTTCCTGAAGATTTTGGTGCACAATTGTTAGGCCAAACATCATGGCAGCATAATTAATCCATTGTTTCTTATAGTTTGCATAAATAACTTTTTTGAAGATAGGCACCCTTATTTGTTTATAGAATTTGTTTCTTATCTACAGTTTTAGGTTTCAATGTAAAAGAAATGGATGGTATTATTGCAAATTCTATGATGATGCCCTTGTAAGAGGTCTTTGGAATTTAACCAAGAACGATATTTAGTTACGTTCGTATCAAAATATATGTTTGGCCGCCATTCCAATTCATTCAATGCTCTAAATTTTAACTTTTTTAAGGAGTGGCCTGCTACTGACAATTTGGTTATTCAAATTTAAATAAAGTTGTTGCATAATTTGAGAAGGATGGATTACATCCAAGTAGAGCGAATACTGTACTCTGTTTCGAATGTAAAAATTTTTAGTTTCATGTTAACAAAAAAGTTTTTGTAGTTTTCAATCTATAGCATAGTGAAAACAAACCTAACAATTCTTAAGAACCGACACAAAAAAATAAAACCTCAAAAGCAGTGAGATATCAATGTTATAAGGATTGGTAAACTTTGTTTCTTTACTTCTAAAAGTTGTTAGTCCTCGTATGGACCTAAACTCTACTTATATAACTTTTTCTTTTGCCAAAAAAAAAAAAAAAAGAAAGAACCCATTTAAAACTTGACCGAGTCTATGTGAGGTACCACTTTGTATTTAATGTGTTTGTGAAATATTGATACATTATCATCCAAAACTTGGAAATCATTCGTAGGCTAGCTCAATCCCATTGTTGATCTATAAATAGGTCCAAGCTTGGCCGAATTTTTAAAATCTTCCTGGTCGTGAGTATGAACTCTTTTTATTTGATAAATTGGATGACGACCAAAGGAAAGAGAAACTTAGACAAATCCATCTTTCTATTAATGAATAATGTTTCTTAATGTTAGAGATGGTATGAGATTGAATATTCTTGATTTCCATCCTCATGAAAGTCCCCAATAGCAACATTTTAATTTTTACTTTTTTTGATACACGATCTATAATTGGTAATAGTGGCTATCAAAATTCAAGGAAGATGAATTAGACGGTAAACGTAGATAAACTAAATAAGAAAATAAAATTATTTTTTCAGTTCCTCTGTCCTGGATCTCTCTCTCTTAGAGATTTTATCTTTGGCCCAAATGCCTAAACTATTATCTCCAGTGCTAAACTACTTTGGAACATTCTCATAACATCACTATAGTGATGGCACAACTTCAAGCATATGCTACTGTGCCTTTGTGTTGCATTTCAGTGCTTATCGTGAAAATGAAGTTGGGTTAGATATTTATTCTCCACTGGTTGTTAATTAGTATCTTGATAGTTTGTACTCTAGATAAAAGAAAGACAGATTTATTGTATATGGTAATGAAATGAGATGTTTTTTTATGAAATGAAATGACATAAATATTCAAGCACTCAATAGGGTCCATAATTTCATTCCCAAATTTATTGTATATATGTACATCAGAAATTGATCTAATGTTTAACCCACTTATTTTGAACCTTTTAATATTGATCTATGTTTAGTTCAGTTATTTTAGAACCAAAGGTTTTTTTATTAAAAAATAAAAAAATTTAATTCAAAAATAGTTCACGTGCCACGCATGTGTGCATCAATTAATAAAAATTAAAAGGCTTATTGGTTAAAACTTGATCTAATAATATTGAGGTCGTGGGTTCAAATATGCACAACAACTATTTTATACAAATAATTAGGGGTGTCAGCTCTGACCTGTTCATATGAACCCGACACGAACGATTATAAAATTAACACGATTATTAAATACGCATAATAAATAATTTAGACTAATATTTAATACTCATAATACATTAATTTTTTTTTTTTGTGTGTGGATATTGACATGAATAACAATAACACGACACGAATAATGCGACATGCGCGTCACACGAACACAACACGATTGACACCCCTATAAATAATGTCAAGGACTACAAGTAAATTACACTAATATAAACAAACAAAAAAACCATTACACTAATCTGTTTGCAAGTGTAACAACCAGAGCATATGGGTACTGTAAGGGGTAGAAATCGTTACGGATCTCATCCCTCCACTTGAGGATTTCGGCTTGACCTGGGTTAACCCACGCGGGCGACCCCCCAGTAGCCTTTACCCCTCAGTGCCCGCAGGAGCTTCGTCCCACATCGACTGAGAGTCGTCTCCCCCCCTCGCATATAAGCCCTTGCACTCAAATGAGGAGGTACCCACTAGGCACCTGATCAGGTGCCTAGTGGGTACCTCCTCATTTGAGTGCAAGGGCTTATATGCGAGGGGGGGAGACGACTCTCAGTCGATGTGGGACGAAGCTCCTGCGGGCACTGAGGGTAAAGGCTACTGGGGGGTCGCCCGCGTGGGTTAACCCAGGTCAAGCCGAAATCCTCAAGTGGAGGGATGAGATCCGTAGCGATTTCTACCCCTTACAGGTACCTAAGATGATGAATGGGTTAAGACTGAGAGTAACTATTTGTTTTGTATCTTAAACTTTCTCTTATCCTATTCCCTAACACCTTTAAAAGAAAAAACAAAACATGTTTATAGAAATAGTTTTAGAAATAATATAACTAGTATTTAATGAATGAGGATGTTTTATACACTTATTGTGTGTATTTATTTCTATTATGAAAAAAAAAACTCATATTTTTATTCAATTAGAGTGTATCTCATTTGTTCTTAGTTTGTTTTATTGTCGTGATTGTTCATTGGCTAATGCTAAAACTAATCTCTAATATCTGACTTCTAAAATTTTATATTTTTTTGTTTTTAGTATAAACATCGTAAGAACTCCCTTGAACTTGGGTATTTTATTTTTAATTTGACACGTAACTTCGGATAATACTACACTAATTAAAATGAAGTGGGTAATGATACGATGATATTGACTGATCAATGTGACGGCACTAACTAAGTAATATGATTATGTAGTTCACTCTTTCACAAACTTTAATTTCTAATTTATTTGACAAATATATTTCAATAATTATCATTAAGTTATTGAAATAGCAAAATAATTAAACCAAAAAAAAAAAATATGGTAATAATATTATTGGAACGCAGTTGAAATAACAACAATAATCAATTGTAAAAAATAAAGAGGATTAATTGCCCAAAAATAGAGGCTAGTTTTTGGCCAATTGTATTCAATTTTACTCTTTAATTACAAACATTGAAACAAAACAAACTTGTAAATATACAAATCAAGGCTAATTAAAGAAATCCATAACACAATTAAAATGGCCAACACATTTAATTACATATCAATCACAACTCATACTCTCAAGGACATATTACTAAAATGTGAAGGTGATAGAATAGGTACAGTAAAGTATAATAGAGTGATATTTAAAATATATATCTAGAAGAAATCCTAACTTTTAATACCATATCCTACAGTAGCCTTGCACTACAAATTGACTTAAATGCAAGACTTGAACATATAGTTTTGAAGAGAGCCAAAAAAAAAAAGTTTAATTACAAAATACCCTTAAACTTTGGATAATTTGTCATTTACCTTTTTAGGTTTTAATTTCAACAAATTGCTCATTTTAAGTTTAGATATTTTGTAATTATTTTTAACAGTTAATTTTAGACCATTAAAATTAACGTAAGTTAGATATAAGAAATCACATGATCTCTATTTTATTAAAAAGACACAATTACACCTTAAAAGTGTGTGTATTGGTGTTGGGTGGAGGTGGACATTGGAAGCCAAAGTGAATGTAAATATGATGTTGCGCGATGGGTTGGTGGTGAGCTGAACAAATGTATTTTTTTTTAACTATTATGTTTTTTTATTTTTTTAGGGATAGAATTGGTGTCTCAAAATTTTTTTTATGAAAAATAATGTACAAGATGAATATGTTATGGTACTTTCATGTTTCAACCACTTTTGTCGGTCAATTTAGTCTGCTTAAAATTTGGAGGGGTAAATTACAAAAATTGAAATTATAGGGACTGATTGTAACAAGAGGAATAGTTGGAGGGGAATAATTGTAATTAACCAAAATGAAACTTATAGTTTTGGACAAAAGCCAAATCTAATGGCTAAAAGTCTAAAACCCTACTTTTTCTGCTCCCTTGCCATTCGGCACTGCCAAAACCCCACGGGCCTCTCCACAGTGAAACAACCAACTGGGAAATCTTTGCTGAGACAACACTGTTCTGTCTGTCTTTATCTCTCTCTGTGTCTTCTGGTTTCTTTGAGCTTCTTGTGCCAACCCATTTTGGTTTTTTTGTGTAAAACAGTCGTCGAATTGGTTAAAGGATGGAGGTGGAGAGACTTTGCTCTGGCGCTTTTGCTCTGGAGAGGATGGTGTGCTCTGCACTGGAGGCTGTGGTGGTTGATACAGCTCTGGTTGCTCAGAAGACCCTTGTTTGGCTTATCTTGTTGGTACATTCTCAATCCTTTGCCCTCCAGACCCTCTGGATTTTTTCCCAATTTTTTTCAATTTGATCTGATCTTTATGTGATGCTCTTATGTACAAGGATTGGCCATTGTTAGTTTTCTGAACAGTTGGGTTTCTGTGGTTTTACTGCGTTTAAGGACTAGGAATTTTGTTACTTTCTCAGTTTCCTGGTCTTAGGTGTTGGATGCCTTTTTTTTTCCCTGTCTAATCTTACAAGTAATGTAAGTTGTTCCTGTGTTTGGATCAAATAGACTGGCATTGTGTGTGTGTGTGTTTTTTTTTTCATTTGGGCTTTGAACTATGATTTTTGCTTTTGACTTAATTGTTGAGTCTGTGTGAAATGGAAGTTAGAGTTTTCTTATTGGAGGATCTTTTAGATTGTAGCTGACCTTTTGTTTCTTTTCTCTGTGTTGTGGTTCATGAGAAATTGAGTTTCAAATTTTAGATGTCTTTTTATCTGGTACCCTTATAAGGAAAATCTCAATGACTGTCTTCTTATTTGTTTCTAGCAGACTTTTTAAGCTTGGACTTGGAGTAGTATTCTATTTGTTACACCATTTCTGAATATGGTATCTGCTCAGTTTGGTTTGTGAATGTCTTATTAAGTTAATGCAAGTCCTCGTTCAAACAACTATTCAGAGTTCCTAGAGCTCCTTCTGAGGCTTGTTGGGGAATCCGTTATCGAACTTGATTAATTGCCTTTTGTTGCTCAAAATGATTAGTTTCATTTATGAAATTCTCCAATTGTTCCAAAGTCTTATAAGTTGAATTTATGACATTCATTTTCCTTGCTCTAATTCAGAGTATCCATTCAGTTGAAACTACTCTACTTCCATTTCCCCTTTCCATAGGCAACCCCGGGATTTTCCAGTTTGTCTTGCCTATTGGGACTTTGATCCTGGATTCTTGGTCTAGTTTGAATTATTTTGTAATACTAGTCATTTCAGTGGTTGTTTCATTATTATTACCAGTAATTCTGGGGTTTCTTCTTATGGTCGCTCAATAAGAAGGCATCATTGTGGACTGTGTGGAGGATCTCATTGTTTAGATGGTTTTCCTCCTTTAGTAGACATATCTGTTTGAATTGACTTCCTTTTTGCAGATTGTATCTGTGCCCAATGACATTGATATGTTACCGAATCCCCTAGGAGAAGAGAAGAGGTACGACCATAGTTGAATTTTTTCCCTTTTCAGTTTTGGTTTTTCACTTTATTTGGAAGAGGCTGAAAACTCAATTTACTGCTGAATTTGTAAAATGCATTGCAGCTTTCCTTTACGTGATCTTAACAGAGTGACAAGGCCTGATGCTGAGAACAAGGATGCCAGTGATACTGAGGATGATGAGGATGAAGACAATGATGCTGATGTCAATGACGAGGATGATGATGAATTTTCGGGAGAAGAAGTGAGTGATGATGATGAAGGGGATTCTGAGGATGATGTTGAGGCTAATGGTGATGGAGGAAGTGATGATGACGACGACGATGATGATGACAGCGATGAAGATGATGATGATGACAGTGATGAAGACGAGGGTGAAGAGGAAGATGACGAAGAAGAGCAAAATCAACCACCATTTAAGAAGAAAAAATGAGGAACATTATTGTTTTTCCATTCATTTCCTTATTGCCTTCAAGTAGTACTTGGGGAGTTGCAGATTGGGAGGATATTTAATTGAAACCAAGAGGACATTGTCTTGGTTATTTTTAGGAAAAAAGTGAATTTCCTTCGTTCTTGTGGATGTTGATCCTTTTGGTGTTCCCTTGGATGATCAAACCATGAGATGAAGAATAACTATCACCCGAAACATCTCTGAGTGAATTGAGTCATTCGGGTCATCTACACTGAATTGAGCGATATTGTTTCGCGATGTCGCAATATTACTTGAATCTTTTGTCATGCACTTCTTCTTCGATATAACTTTTTGTGTGTATCACCCAAAATCATTTTGCGACGCCACAACCAATGTCTCTCGATCAAGTTGATAGTTGATACTGTGACCCTAAACCTTAAGTGGTCTAGTTCAATACCTTAGAACAATAAATGCAACTATTCTTTTCGTCTCAGTACTCAAAATTATGCTGTCATGCATTGGCTAAATTAAGGTTTATGTCATGTGAATGGCAACACCCTTTAGCTGCTTCTAAGAATGCTTAAACAAGCAATGGGAGAATTCATCGTCATATATCCCGGAGATTGTATTCAATAATCTTAAAAAGTATTCAATGGTACAATCCTTTGGAAGAACGTGTTTGTGTGTAAGATACATTTGCCGACGAGTGATCACACAAGAAAAGAATTGGCTAGTGCAGACTTAACTCAGGCATAGAAGAGCCACAATTTGCAAAACAGGGAATGAATCTCTTTAATTAAGAGGGAATAAACTTTGGACAAACACAAAGGAAAGGCATGCAGATATGGAAAGATAAGTATAAATACAAACAAAGCAATAAATTTTTATACTTGATAATTCTAAATGTTTGCACAGATGAAAGACGATAATCAGAATGAATCTCGATTGGGGGAGGAGTCATTCATAGCGATGACTGTCTCTGCATTCAACTTATAACAATCATGAATTGCAAATGAAATTCCCAGCAAAGTATTAAAGAATGTACACCACTGGTAATCAGATTGACCATGAGAAAATTGATGAATTTCCCCCATGCTGAAATCGTCGAAACAGTCTTCAAGAGGCTCACCTGGTAGTCTTCTTCATTATTCTTTCCGTGAAACCAAAAGGGGAAGGGAACAAAAAAAAGAAAGAAAAAGACTGGGAATTTGAATTGCACTTTTATGACATCCCCTTGCACTCCTCGATACTGCCTTCAATTGCACAACAAGAGAAAGAAGCTGATTGATGGGATCAAAGATTATACAAATCACCACCTTAACCCTTTCCCAAGAACTCGTCTATGATGGACTCTATTCTAGAACTACAGAGACAAATTCTCTCACACGTAGAAACTGTCTCAGGTGATATATAAAAAACAGGGAGATTCGGTTTAATACACAACACAAGACCATACCGCTCTGCAGGGCTTAACAGAAGGTTCTTCTTGAATAAGTGGGAAAGAGTTGTTTGCAAGGTGAGAGGAAGGGCATGAAAGTAAATTGGAACAGCCATAGTTTGTCTGAAATTAGTTACTGGCCTTTCATATGACACTCTTTTCTATAATATGGTTTAGCCAGTAATGGAGAACTCCAGTCAAAATTCATGAGCAAGTTAATTTCCAACCAACCAGGGATGTGACCATGAAAGAGAAGAAAATTTTCAGCCTAAAATGATTAGAGAATTTATTAGGTTGTAAAAGCAAAACAATTGATCTTTCCCAAGGTTACTCAGAAACGTTTCATGCATTGAAATCTGCAAGATGAAGTGCTCTCTCCAGCCAGTGGACATAGGCTTAATGGCAAACCACGTAAAATCGCAGTGTCAGTCTTTACAACTGCATAGGGTGACTAAGATCTACTGTATTCTCTTCATTCTCCACAACAATAACAGAAGAAAAAGTTGATTTTCTGGGAGGTCAAAAAAACCTTAAAGGAGAAAGTGAGCTCTTTTGTAGCTCCTCGCTGCTCTAGTCGGTGTATAACTGCTAGCAGGTGTGTCCACACCCCCTGAGTGAACGAGAAAGAAAGAATTTTTCGGACCAACCCCCCACCTTCCAAGAGTCAACTTTCCTGTTTGAGCACTCGTACATGTATCAGTCCGTAGAAGAGTGAAATGGTCACCACTACTAAGGATCTCTCCACTAATCTTAGATAGGTTTATAACTTTGCACCAACTAGCAATTGAGATTGCAATGAAAAGGTCCTTTAGGAAATGATCTTTCAGTTAGCTAAGTCGAATCTTATGCATAACCAATAAGTAATAAGCACAAATCCACAAAATATTCTATCAACTTACACACTATAAATTCAAATATCACATGTTAATTGCTACAATCATTCAATTTCAAAAAAAGTGAGAGTCTAAATCACAATTTAGTGATTTATTAAATAATTAATTAATTAATCTGATAAAAAAGTGACAAACTTGTCATTATAACTTTACTGAGGCAGCTTTCCCGCCCGGAAAACGGCGAACTTGGAACTCTCCGAATATGAATACCCGATCCCATTATCCTTCAAAAACTCCTCAATCAATTTCTTAGCTCTATCAGGCTCCGAACTCTCACATTCTATCTCATAACTTGTCCCAAATTCATAATGGGTCTCATCGAGCTCCAATTTCAACCCATTCCAATCATACACTGCCCTCACATTCCTAAACCCTCCCAAACACACCAACCCATTTTCTATAACACCGAACTCTTCTCTCACTCGCTTGAGTATTCTCGACAAATTAATCGACGATAGCTGCCAGGGCTCCGCCACACAGGCTCGGGCGATGGCGGCGTCGATGGGCTCTTCATCTTCCTCGATCCGGCTAATCCCGTCGGTGATTATTGGTTTGGCCTTTAGAGAGACGATGCAGTGGGTGTCAAGGTCGTAGAATCGGAGACGTAGCACGGCTAGGTTTGAAGAGAGCTCGGAGTTAATGCCGTCGAAGAAGACGTTTTCTTGGAGGTGGGTTTTGATGTGGAACGGTGAGAGTATGTTGGAGAGTCTTTGGTGAGAGGCTGAGTCTGGTAACCGTAGCTTCACTTCAACTTCCATGGTTGTGCGCCGTGTGTTTTATCTGACCCGAAGGCTTTGTGGCGCGGAGCAACGGTGGTGAGCGGAAGGATAGGGAGAAAATATATAATAAAAAATTTCTCTTTGATCACATAAAGCAGGAGTGTAAAAATATCAACTTTAAAAAAAATTGAAAATACAAATGTCTTGATAGTCCTGTATTATATATATATATTAGTCATAACTCATGCCTTCAGACCGGATAAAATATAAAATTTGATCATCTAAAAAATTAATCTCACTATATTAAATTTTTTCAAAATATATATTAACTAAAAATTAATCAAATATTAAATAATTAAATATATAATAGAAATGAGTGATATAATATTTTTATGGAAAAAATGTATAAATAATTAAATATGTGATAGAATAAGTGATTTGATTTAACGTTTGAGTTTGACAAAGGGATAATGGGTGAGGTAAGTAATTGATGATGATTTTGAGAGGAAAAATATGACTAGGATAAAATTCAAATACATTCTTATTTTATTATATATATAGATACATATTTAATTATAAGAGATTAATATAAATAAAATATACAAAATTAAAATTTTATGCACAACTATGAATATGATATAAATATTTAATTTTTAAACATTTATTAATTATAAAGTCCTAAAATAATAATTACAATTTATAAATATTATTATAGTTTGACATGTATATTTAGGCTTCGGTCAATACTGCTCACATAAAAATATAAGTAAAATGAGAATTTTATAATTAATCAAATTTGTGAATATTATAAAATGAAACAACAAATGCACAAAGAATTTGCTTTCAAAGCACGAATTTATGCTCAGAACGCAAAGAGTATTAGGGGTTTAGACGAATTATGTGACCAAGTGAAATTTATTATATATTGAATAATAATGTAATATCTCAAAATTCACCGTGAAAGATATTATTATCTATCATCATTCATATCATGAGAGCAAGTAATAAAATTCATAAATTAAAGAAATTTCATTCGTCATCTGTAACAACTAAAATATCATCTAAAATTAATATGTCAAACTATGACAATTACATCTAAAAAAATTAAATATTATTTTGCAGCGAAATAAATAAAACATTATTTTTAATATTGTCTCATAATTAACATACCAGTTTAGAACATAAAGGAAACAACTCTAAACATCCACCTCAAGATCCACGTTCTCATCAATTTGAGTTTTTAAAGGTACCTGCTTATCAAATTCTAACTCTTCCTCTAAACCATAATCTAAAAAGATGTAGTTTGTATGAAGTGAACACTAAGCTCTATAGAAAAATTCTCTCAAGTTCAAACAAAGTTTTAAAAATATATAAAACAGGTTGGTTTCATTTTACAAAATATCATATATAACTTTGAAATAAAACAATAATAGTTCATCGGATTTCAAGTTTAGATAGTAACAATAAATAAAACGAAGAAGTAAAACCAACTTTCAATTAATAAACTATTACCAACACTGTATTTTAGGTATGTAGTAAAATTTAGCATGAATACACACATTGAGAATATACTGATCCCCCCCACACACACTCAATTCTCGCAAGAATACACAACTTTAGGAAGGGTGTATAGTGACACATCAACAGTGACGAATCCAATCTAAAAATAATATACTATCTCTTAGCCTTGATACTTGTAAGCGAATAGTGGTTTGGTCATCTTAAGACACCAACTCCACTACGAGTGGTAGAAAACCTTTAAACTCACTCGAAGTAAGAAACACATCTACTCACTCTATGATACCCCGTTAACTATCATACATGTTTATCAAAACATTCATACAAGAAATACAATATCAAACTAATTTACCAAATCACGGGTAAATCAATAACCATAATTTTACAGGTAAATCAAGAACTGTAATTTTACAAGTATTTTTCTAACATAACAACTCAAGAAAATATAATTTTATTGTTTAAACAAATACTAGAGTTTTTAAAGCAAGGACATTGGAATATCAAGTGTAAAATGTATATGGTTTCAAGAACAATTAAAATAAAAATATATTAAGAACAATAAAATCTATATGTCGAAACCAATGTCGACCTCAAATTACCTCTCCCAAGATTTTTCGACCTTTTTGAATTCAATGAAAACTTTACTTTAATCTAAAAATATTTATAAAATTACTCAGTCACATTATTCAATTCAAATATCTCCAAAACCTAATTTATCTCAACGCAAATACGTGTAAAACTCAAATTTTATAATCAATCTATCAACTATGATTCTAAGTTTCTACCATCATTTTATTCATCTTAGAAAATTCTTAAGATAATATTATCTTTATTTAAAATTTTAATATAGGGTCTTACAAATATTATTTAAACTTAATTTGAAAAATTAATTTAATTGTGGGCTCCATCTAATATTGAAATTCACAATTAATTTAAAGACAATATTGAATTAAGTCTTTGATTAGGTTCATATAGAATTGCTCATATACATTAGTAGATCAATTAATCATCCACGTGGGTGATCTCTTAAGAAAAAATAAAATATATATATTAAGAACAATAAATATCGCAAAAATATTTATATAGCTATTATTAAATGGGGTGTTTTATTGATAATTTATCAAATAATTAAATTCACTAGATAAATATGATAATTTACAATTAATTAGTGAGTCATGTATAAATAATTATGTAGTATTGTTATTGCATTTGTTCGAATGAGAGGTTGTTTGAATGGTGGTGGTGGTGAGATTTAACTAAAATAAATAAATCGTGAAAAAGTAATGCTAACATATTAGTACTATTGCATTGCATGTTCTCGAAGGAAGACCAAAAAAACCTTCCCCTCATTTTTTATATTTGGAAAGTTCTATTGCTCTGAATAATAAGATTTTTTTTTTTTGAAATTCAATAAAATCGATCAAAAAATTTATCATCTATTAGGTGGATCAATCGATTGACTGAGTTAGGAGTTGGACGTCCATATCATAGAATATCTCTCTAGCCAAGAATTTAATTATTTAATCTTTTTTGTTAATTAATTATAATTTATTCAAAATTTCTTATAGTTTCCTTTAGAGCTGTCCGAATATACTCTATATTCTCATTCAATTGTTTACTTTAGTGAGTGGATCCCTAAAAATTCATATCCAATAAACTATTTATTTGGATTAGTTAAATCTCTCAATATTTAGAGAGTTAACCTCACCCGCTACTTAATAATTGATGAATAAAAAAAATGACATGCAGAGTTTGCATTAAATGTTACTCGCTGTAAAAGCTATTTCTAATAAAATTGAGAGTTATATTGGAACTGTTAAAAAAATTATACTTTTATTTTAAATTTTTATCAAAAATGTTATTTATTTTTAAAAAGATGCTCTTTAAAATAAAAAACACTATTGGATGTGCTCTTATCTTTCTTTCTTTTTTTTTTGTGTGGGGATGAAAGGTAAAAAATGAGCAATTAAAATAGAAAAACAGATTGCTCAAAGAGAAGATGGGTTGGATATCCCGGTGCGTTGAACGGGTCTGGATTGCCAAAGTAACCTGGTACGGTTAGCCAATGAGTGTTTTACACGTCATCAACATCAGGATTAAAAAAGAAGAATGATTTCACGATTTCTCCACCAAGTGGAACTGGATTTTTAATTCTAACCGACGGGGTCTAGTGAGACATTAGTCGTTTAGGAGGTGTGTTGGATCGCTATGAGTTGGATTGGATTTGAATCTAATCCAACTCAATATAATCAAATAGTTCGGATTGATTCAATCTTAATGAATAGTATCTCATCTTATCTCATATTTGGATAAAAAAACATTTGTTTTATAGATCCTATTCTTATATATAGATGAAAAATAGTGAAATGATTATTACATTATTGTAAAGAATGTTAATCCAATCTTATACCAACTTTAGATTGATATGATGCCAATCTAAAATGAGGATCGAATAGATACTTAGATTTGAACAAAATTTTGATTTACTAAATTACATTTTTTAACAAAACAAAGCCAAAAATTTATTTATAATTTGTTTAATTGCATTTTGTATATCACATAATTCATTCCAAAATCATATGCCTCACGTATCAAAAGCAAATGTACATGACAAACGGATAATTTTGATTTAATATATTACTTGTAGTTTAATTATTTTAATAATTTAATATTGTTTAGTCACTTTTTTAACAACACAAGACCAAACAAGACCGATAGTTTCTGGGTCGACAGAGCTGGTGGAAATTGAGGGGGTTTGGGGATGGAAAACATCGAGTTAGGGGGTGTTGTGTGTGTGTGCATTTAACAGAGATAGGGAGGGGTTTGTGTGTGCGTGGTTTGCTGGTTCTGGAGGTGGCGTAGATGATTTAGTGGTGCCGTTGGCGGTGGCTGTGGCTGTGGCGTTGTCGTGGAGAGACAGAGAGGAAAGGGGTGGGGGCGCTAGTGGTGTTTGGTCGCTGTTGGTGGAGGTGCTGTGTATGTAGCAAGGGAGAGAGGAAAGTGGCGTGAGACTGGAGAGGGAGAAAGAGAGGAAAGTGAGCACAGAGGTTTTGATCCAAACCTGGGTTTTGTGGGTCCCGGATATTTTTATCCAATCCAACTTGCTTTATCCTTCTTTATCCATCAAACCAAACACCCCCTTAGGGTTTCAATCCAAAATAACAAAAACCGAAAAGTAAGATCAGACATTGACACCAACAGCTTGAGGATTGAGTAATTAATCTTCTCCGGCAACGGCGATCTTTCATCGCCGAACATCGACGTCCATATATCCTGGTGAGTTTACTGAAATCGGATTGAGCTCTTATTGTTATCTATATTTTCATAAAAGCTTTCAGATTTAATGATCTCAATCAATGAACCATGAGATAGGGTTATTGAGTTTTGTTGTTTTTTTGGATAATTTGTCACAGACAGTACCTACCTCGACAGAATTGAATCTTCGAAAGCTTCGTTACATAACAAAGTTGAATCTTTCAGACGGGTTTATTCTGACTCACCGTCGACAATCAACCTGATTACGTCATCGCCATAGCGAGATTTCAGTTCGGCCCCACTGCTACCATGACTACGCTTG